TCAGTCCACTGTGGAGTCCTTGGGGCCCATAGGTCTGCCGAGGTTACCGTCAAGCTGCTAGAGAGGGCAGTATGGTGGCCCGACTTGGAGAAAGATGTGCGGACCTGGGTCGCCAAGTGTCTCGCTTGCATTAAAGGCCGCTCCCGACCGACGAAGGTTGAGGCTCGTGCGGTCAAGTGTGGCGCCGAGACATGCTGGCAGGAAGTCAGCGTGGACTGTGAAGGTCCGAACCGAGAGGACAGGGAAGGGCATAGGTACTCGCTTACGTACTTCGATTGCCTCAGTCATGCTGTCCTCCTCGAGCCGATGAGGTCTCTGACTCATGCTGAAGTCAGGAGGGCGTTCGTGCGCTGCGTGCTCCGCAGCAGGACGATCCCGAGCCTCATCAGGTCGGATAGAGGGCCAGAGTTCAAGAATGCGCTCATGGCAGAACTCAGCGCGATGCTTGGGACCGAGTGGCGGTTCAGCGCGCCCTTGAGGCCTTGTGAGTTGGGCGCGAACGAGCGAGTCCACCAAGAAGTCCAAAAGGTGCTGGGGGCGGTCGTCAGGCAAGTCGGCGCCTCCCTTTCCGAAGCTTGGTCGGATTGGCTCGTGGTGGCGGAGTACGTCATAGACAACACTCCGGGTCCCCACGGGTATACCCCGAGGGACCTAGAGCGGAGCTGGTCGCTCGCTCTACCACTTGAAAAGGACGTCCTGCGTGACGCCTTGCAGTTCGAACCCATCTCTGATTGGGCTCGGAGCCAGTTCAAACAGTTCTCGGAGCTAGCTGCTGCGGTCCGAGAGCACTGGACGCGGTCTTCAGAAGCGCGGGCGAAACTTGCAAACCGCCATAGGCGCACTGTGGACCTTAAACCAGGCGACCGAGTGGTCTGGAACGCTCCGAGGGCCCGTTCAGAGGGGGCGGGGCGTGTGCCTTGGAAACCGGGTCTGACCGGCCCCTGGCGCGTGTTGGAAGTCAAGGGCCACAGGCTCACCTTGGAGCCCGTGTCGATGGAGTCGGGGGGTACTTCTTCCGCCCGGCGCGGCCCGATGGAGGCGCACGCAGAAGACTGCATTCTTGTCCCTGCGGATGCAGATGGCGCGGAATCCCGCGAGCCGGTCGTCTTTGAGGACGATGGAACCGGCGGGGACGACTTGTCTCGCCCCAGCTTAGGGCAGCAAGTTCAAGGCGACGCCAAGCAGGTGGAGTTCACGCTGACCAGGCGCGGGAGGGACTTCGTCCTCCGCCTTGGCGACCGCATTGCCTATCGGGGTGTAGGTGGAGGCCCGAAGGTGTGCAGGTTAGGACGGGTTACGCAGGTGGATGCGGCCCGTGCGCAGGTCGGCGTCCACCGCTATCTCCCCGACGCCAGCGGGGTTCGCGTCAAATGGCGGCTTGCATTTATCGCCGAGGACGGAGCGCTCACGCTTTCAGAAGGGACCCGTCCGGCCCACGAAGCGGTTTCCGTTAAGGAAATCATTTCCAAGATCGACCTAAACCGCGACGGCGTGCTTGCTGCAGCCTCGGCCAGAAAGTTGGACAAGGGAGCGTATTCGTTGCAGGACAGGACGCTCGAGCGAGCGTCTCGCGCCGGCACGAGCGTGCTCTCGATCCAAGAGGCCCTCGCGGACCTCTTGGTCGCGGAACCCCGCGTGTTGCAGCCTAGGGCGTTCCCAGAGTCGGGTGCTGTCGAGAAATGGTTCCGGCAGTATTTCCTTGGAGGGGTTGCCGATGTCTTAGAGGTTGCTTGGGGTGACGCGGTCGTTTCCGACGCGGCTAGGAGGCACGGGTACAGGGTTGTTCCAGCTTTTGTGCAAGGCAGGCAGGCCTACGGGATCACCTGGAACCTAGCCGCAGAAGAGCACTTAGAGGCTATTAGCGGCGCTGTTTTGCGCACAGAGCCGAAGGTGCTCGTGATTGGGCTTGAGGGCAAGAATGTGCCCCGGGCTTTCCTCCAGCTAGTCGTCCGGTGCGCGCAGGAACGCACGCGCGCGGGCGCCCACGTCGCGCTGCGTTTGCAGGCACAAAAAGGCGAGTGGGAACCCTGGCGGCTAGAGGAGTGGGGCGCCTTGTTTGGGACGCTCGCAGAGCCACGCTGGCCTTGGGCCTTGGTGCGGGCTGACATATGCCAGTTCGCGCGGGCCAGCGGCCGCGGCAACCTCGTTGAAAGCGGGGCCCTGTGGCTCGCCGATTTTAGCTTAGAATCGGTAGGTTTGAGGTGTAGTAGGCCGGACGCGCTAGGCGCAGTGCAGCACAGGCACGTTGAGCGCGCGCGAGCCGACTACGACCTCATAGGGGCGGCTTTCTGCGCCTCGCTCCAGGACCTTGGTCTGAGGGGCGCTGAAGAGCTGTGCACCGCAGCAGTTGAAAGCTTTCCAGCCACTGCGGGTGCAGATAGCGCCACGGCTGCGCCACAGCCCTCTCCAGTCGTTCCCCTCCCGGACGTGCGCTCGGGCGAGGACCTCACGCCAGCAGAGCGTGCGGAGCTGGACAAGGAAGTGGATATGGCGGACCAAGGCGGACGCCAAGGACTGGGATTCCGTCCGGGCTGACCTTGAGGTCTATGAGAAGGTCGCGGAGGATCCTAGGCGCACCGAAGCCTATAGAGACCTCGTACGGTCGGGTTTGAAGATCGAGCCTGGACCAACCAGACCCGGGCTGACCGATGCTGATATCGCAGCCGTCAGGCATACGGCGAAAGGCCGCTGGGTTCTGGGTGGAGGACACCACCAGGACCACGGTCAGGAAGTTCGCCCATGACTGCATCCCCACCGGGCCGCCGGTCTCGTCCCAGCCTCACAGTCTGAGGGGCGAGTCCGCGCAATGGGTCGACGACAAGCTTGAAGAGGAATGCAAGCGGGGTCAGTTGATCCGCGGCAGCTCGGCTTGGGGATCTGCGCCGTTTCCGACCAAGGAAATGCCCAGTTACAAGCGGCATAGGAAGCGACGCTTGGTGGTTGACTACCGCCGAGTGAATGCCCGAATTAAGCGCTCCACGTACTATTGTCGGCGGGGCAGCGATGTGCTCGCCGCCGCAGTAGGTTCGGTTTGGTATACCTTCGTGGATGCGGTTAGTGGGTTTAATCAGATTAGGAACACCAAGCGTGCTCGCGAGGTGTTGGCCATTGTGGCAAGATCAGGGAAATATCTCCCTGTCGGCCTCACCTTTGGCCCGATTAACGGCCCGGATGATTTCAACTTTGTGGTTGATAGGGCCTATGCCCCCGGCAGAGGTAGGCGCCTTAAGTATACTAAGGAGTGGATAGCCTACGTGGATGATCTTACTGTTAGGACGGGTAGGGTCATTGATGGGCAGTTTTTCACTGATGCCCAAGCCGAGGGGGCGGTGCGCGAAGCGTGCGCCAAGGGGGCAGTCGCGGCTCCGCAGAGCGCGTCGTCTGCTCTTGAAGCCTTAGGCGTTCGCGGTGCGCACAACACCAAGCGCGCGAACCATGACGCGGCGCGCTCAGACCAGAATCACCCCACGCGCGTTCTGATGCTCAGGATGTTGGGGCTGTTCGGGTGTTTCTGTGTTCAGGGCGGGTGTTTTTGGGGCGGGCCGTTTCCCAGGTCGCCGGTCTGCGGGCAGAAGGATTTTTCGTCGTTCGTCGCGTGCAGCTTCGTTCGTTTGTCCCGCAGCCAGTGTTTAGCAAGCAGGCCTAGAGGTTCGGTCCAAGGTCGAAGCAGAAGCCGTGGAAGCCTTAAAGCCCAGACCTTAAGGAAACTCCCCAAACCCCCGCCGCAGCGGTTCAAGTGTGTTGTAGAGCCTAGGGTAGGTAGTCCCTCCCCGCGTTCGTGCCTGTGCACTGCGCCCCGCTGCGGGTCGCGACCAGACCGCGCGGGAGCGACCGATCGGTCGCCCGGACCTTCGTGGTCAACCACAAGGCCCCGCTGCGGGCCGTGCCCTGGCCGCGCGGGAGCGGCTGCCTACCACTACTGCACACCGGCCCCTTGCAGCGGGCCAAGGCTAGGCAAGAGTCGATCTTTTGCTTTGGGTGGTCTCAACGGAGAATCTGAATCTGTGACTCAACAATCTAATTGTCGGGTCGAAGATGCGCATGCTGTTCGCGATGCCTCCTTTCAGTGGCAACAAGCTATCCCACATCATTGGAAGTATGATCTTGAACGCCTAAGTGCGCATGAGAGAGGAGCCCGCCACAGGCTCCACAAAGTCGGAAGGGAAAGCAGATTCTTGCCTGCAGAAGCCTCCCGCACAAGACGCTCCAAACTCGAAGCTCTCTTAGTCTCTTAGCCGCCCTTGGCCCAGGCCTTGGCCCAGGCCCTGGCCCAGAAGGTTCCCATCTCTCCGAACACCTCGCCATGGCTTGGAAGTGCAGAAGGCTACGCAATTTTCAGCTTGAAAGAATACAAAGCGAGCTCTCTAGACAGCCTTTTGGCATTCGAACCCCCTGACTCAAGCAGCCGTCTTGAAGTTTCCGGTATTTTCCAACGGCCTCTCTTTTGCTCATGCACTGCCGGCCGCGCTAGCAGGCATCTGGCTCGGGGCTCTGAACCCTGCACTATCTGTACATTGCCCAAGCTTGATTGGGCCTCATCGAGACAGCGAATTAGCACATGCAAGGTGGTCTGATGCCTTTGATCAGACCAAATGACCAAATGCAAAACATGACATGACTCATAAACCAGTGTGACAACTAATTCCATGAATATGCCTCATAGATTTCTCACTTCACAGAAACAGGAGAAAACTTATCAGAACTCACCGTATTTAACAGTTTCTCATGTGTTCCGATTCCTGGAATCCGCGGGGCGATGGGGCAACTTGGGGAAGGTATGCTGCAAGCCATAAGCAATGACACCAAACTTCGGAATTTAGAGGACAGTGCATTTTTCTGGCAAGCTGCAAGTGTGAGTCTACAGCTGCCTTTGAAAACAGTAAGTAGGAGTCACTACAGACTTTCTTTGTAGGAACCAATACTGTAAGAGGGGGCCATGCTTTCAGAGCAACTTATGGCTCTGAAGATATGAACTTGTTCGGTCTTGTAGCATCAGCTTGTCACTTCAAATACTTGATGTAGAGGGCCACATTCTCCGGTTTCAACCAATCTGTGTGGGCAATGCCGCTCACAACTTGGAGCTCTGCCCTTCCATCGGCCAGCATTTCGTTGAGAGGGACAAGGTCTCGCTTGCCAACATCTGTCTTGTTGAAAGAGACGACTTCTTCCGGGGACTCGACGTCGTAGTATCCCCACACAGTAGATTGCCACGGCACGATAGCTCCGTCATCTGGAGATCCAAAAAACACTGCCTTCTCAAGCCGGTTGAATGCGGCCTTGAACTGGGGATTCCTGTCCCATGACATGTCACTTGGCCAAACACATCCTTGAAGTCCTTGATAGTAGCATCCGCCTGGATGGCATGTGACTCTCCTGTAGCAGCGCTCAATGGGCGCCTCGTTGTTCATGGGAGCCAAATATGTACTGCTTTCTTGATAATTCTTAAATGCTGCTACGTCTTTCCAATAACCGCCAAACGAGATGCGCTGCATCTGTTTTGTGTACATTGCGCCGCTGGCCATCTTGTGTACGACCCATTGAGGCAAGCTGTCCTGGATGGTGCCGTAGCCGACGACACCCATCTGAGGTCCAGCCATACTGATGAATACTTTAGGCTCAACATATCCTAAGCCATGCTGGGCTGGATCCCAAGTGTTGATAACTCCCCGGCACAAAAGGCCCCCTTGGCTGTGACACAAGAGGTTGAAACCATTTGTGAATGCTTCTGGATCGTAAGCAATTTCCTTCCTGATGAAGTCCCTCACGCCTCCTAGCTGGTCTAACATCTTTGTCAAATAAGACGCTGCTCCCTCGAACAGGTCGATGGTGATGAACTTTGTGCCGGGGTGTTCCTCCGTGATCTTGTCCCCAAGGCCGTTGCCTGACGCTCCATAGTCTTGGATTCCGTGCATAAAGAATACAGGGTTGTACGGTGGCACATTTCCAGTTTGGGCCTTCATGCAAACAGCTGTGCCATCGATAACTGTGAAGTTAGAGCAGCATTCGTAGCCATTTTTTGGATTACCACCTTTCTGGCCACACACAGTGCCTTGCACGCAATTCTCGTTAACTCCATCACTGCACGCTCCACCCTCAGCGACGGCACACCAAGTGACACCTCCGTGGATTTCGTAGTTGGCGCAGCACTGGTAGTCGTTCTTGTTATCATTGTATCTGCCACAGACAGCTCCTGTTGCACAGTTCTCGTTGACTCCATCATTGCACGCTCCACCGTAAGGGACGGCACACCAACTGACACCTCCGTGGATTTCGTAGCTGGCGCAGCACTGGTAGTCGTTCTTCTGGTCGTTGTACCTTGCACAGGCACCCTGTAGGCAAACGCTGTCGTCACCCTTTTTGCATTTGTGGCCCTCTGGAGTCCCACCTCCACAAGCCCCCTCGTCAGGGCAAGACTTCACGGAGCAAGCAGCTGCACACTGTTGCTGGTCTGCCATTGTCACTTGGGCTCCCAGTGTTTGTGAAATGCTGTTGCCATAGGCACAAATCAGGTTCATCTCCAAAAAGTTCACTCCTTGAAACATGTTGGTGCTGATAATCCATGCCAAGACTTGTGCATTGAGGTCAGCACTCAATGGCACGTTACCGAAGGTACCGTCTGTCTCCATTGATTGCTGAAGGAACTCCTGGGCTTGAAAGGGCTTGCTACCTTCGCGCATCGCCGCCATTGTCCTGTCAGAATAGTCAGCCAGTTGAGACTGACCAGTGACTCCTGGATCGTAATTTGACTCTACGCAATAGCCTTCCCCAGGAATGAGGAGCAGCCGACCACCGGTGTCCATGGTTGCATGCGATTTGGCTTCGTCCAATGTCATAGAGTCAAGCGTTGAGCAATCCGACTCCACTGGAACACCTAGTTCTGTGAAGACCTGCAGCATTTCATCGCTAGTGCAGCTTATTTCTGTTGCAGGTTTCATTGTCTCAATCCCGGTTGTTGCTTTTGGTGTTTCGTAGCAGTGGCTCAAGAGAATCACAACCAACTCATTTGGATGCTGCTGACACCAATTGATGATTTGGGGAATAGTTTCCCGTACGGTTTGGTCAGAAATCCAGCCGTATGTCATCCTGCCACCACTGAAGCTACCGTGATGAAAGCTAACATCTTCGAAGGTGTCTCCTTTCTTCATGGTTCGCATATCGAAAGCTCGGGCTCCACATGCAAGCTGGCCTACAAAATCGACACCTTGCGTCCTGATCATGTTTGGTGCATTCAGTCCCCCACCGGCATAGCCTGTGGCCGAATCATGTGTCATCAGAAACGGCGATTGCCGAAAAAGTGCACTTCCATCCACAGCAATGCTGCCCTGGAGGACACAGACAGCAATCCCATTGATCGGAATCCAGTTTGAACAGCATTGGTAACCTCGAGTTACCAATGCTCCAGATTGGCCACACACAGTGCCTTGCACGCAATTCTCGTTAACTCCATCACTGCACGCTCCACCCTCAGCGACGGCACACCAAGTGACACCTCCGTGGATTTCGTAGTTGGCGCAGCACTGGTAGTCGTTCGTGTTATCATTGTATCTGCCACAGATAGCTCCATGTGCACAGTTCTCGTTGATTCCATCACTGCACCGTTCGCCCTCACGATTGGCGCACCAAGCGACACCTCCATGTACTTCATTGTTGGCGCAGCACATGAAACTGTTGCTGTTTTGGTTGTATCTGCCACAGACAGATCCGACTTCGCACTGACTGTTGTTCCCCTTCTTGCACTTGTCACCCTCGCCCCTTGAAGATCCGTTCGTGCCAAGTGTTATACTCTGCCCCTGCCTTTGAATGAAGCCTCCCTCGTCTGGCACACAAGTACGAGTAGCAGCTTGACTGCTGCAGTTTCCGCCTGAGCCTTCCGCACTTTTTGCAAAGAGAGCAAGCAAAGCCAAGCGGATCATGACCATCGTCAATCAAGGAAATTACTGGCAACGCTATGGAGACCTTGAGACTGCTCGAGTAGGCAGAGAAATCAGCGGGTTCCTCATGAATCCACCTGCGGATAGGGTTCAAGACTCACATGCCCTTTCGATGATCATGCAAGCTTACAGTCCTCGAAATGATTTGAGTGCCGAGGTGGCAAAGTGCGCGACCTACGTAACGGTAGTTTTTCCGACGTAAACCAGCTAAAAAACAACACAAACCCACACTCGCACCACGGACCGCATAAAACTGCGCAAAAAAATTGAGCGCGCACTCGTGACCTCGAAGGCATACAACCACAAAACACAAAATGCAAACGCACATTCGAGCCATAAAACGCATAGAACTGCAAAAAACAATCCGAAGCGCACACTCGCGACCTCAAATCTGCCAAACCCTTTTCTTTTGATCAAAACGTACACTCGCGGCCATCAAACGCAAAAAAAGGAGCACAACCCAACCTGATCGCGTGCTCCTGACCATGAGCTTGAACAAGTAAAACTGCTCAAGCAAAAAATGTAAACACACATTTGCGCCATTGAACGCACCCAAAACACCGAAAACTATCTTGAAAACCTCTCGCATAAAATCTTTTTGGTCCACGAACACAAAAAATCATAAAACGAATGCATTAACGTGCGCGCGCACGCGCGTGTCGTCGAGCGCATAAAGTCACTGAAACATAAACATGCACTTTCTCGACACGCTTCGAAAAATCCAGGAGGACAAAAGCAAACGCAAAGACGCGCATTGAATAATGTGTGCCATGCCCGCAACATCGAACACGCAAATCCCAATAAAATGTGTACTTAAAGCCTTGGGGCCGCTCCATTATTCATAGGGGTTCCTCGTATTAAGAAGGATGTATAACTAGTGCCTGCTAAGCCTGAAACCCTACACCTTAAAACGTAAACCCCACGTTCTAAATCCCAAACGTGGCCGTATGGGTGGAGCAATGATTGTGTTTGCTTGGCTTTCTCGACTCTCCCCAAGCCCAAGCCCTCAGCCCTAAACTCATATACTGCAACACGGCGTGAAGCCACAAAAGCATCAGATTCTAGACTTGAGCTATACCACTACATATACAAAAACAGGTGGTTCACGGCTCACGAACGCCACGAACACAGTTTGAACCATATGGGCCCAAATTCCATGAACCCCAAAAATTCTGCGCAAATCGTAAAAACACAGCAGGAATGACAAACAAAAACTGCGAGAGAACAAAAAAGAATCGTGCATTTTTACTCAAGAGAGAAGTCCAGTCAACCGGGGGGGGGGGGGGGGGGCTGCTAAAAGGGCATGTAGTGTCGCGAGTGTCGCGAGCTATGTGGTTCCACTTCGAATTGTGCTCATATTCCAGAAATCTAGATGAATCTCACATGGTTGAAACGGCCCACGAGCTTACATCGCTCACCATCTAGGTCGGCTCACACCTGTCACTCGTTGATACTGATTAAACCTCCCTTCATCCTAGCAAGTTTCGCAAAAAGTGGCTGCAGGCATTGCGGTCTGATGCATACTGCGTCTTCAAGAGAAGATGTTCCTACGATCTTGAAGGCATGCAACCAAAAGGGCATGTAGTGTCGCGAGCTATGTGATTCCATGTCGCAGTGTGCTCATGCCTGTCTAATCGTCATGAACCTCACATGGTTGAAACGGCCCACGAGCTTACATCGCTCGCCTTCCAAGTCGGTTCACGCCTGTCACTCGTTGAGACTGATTAAATCTCCCTTCATCCTAGCAAGCTTTGCAAAAGTCGCTGCAGCATAGCGGTCCGATGCATACTGCGTCTTCAGGAGTTGATGTCTCTACGATTTTGAAGGCATGCCGCTAAAAGGGCATGTAGTGTCGAGAGCTATGTGGTGCCACTTCGCAGTGTTTTCATGCTTGCTTGAATATACATGAGCCTCGCATGTTTGAAATGGCCCACGAGCTTACATCGCTCACCATGTAAGCCGGCTCACACTTGTCACTCGTTGAGACTGATTAAACCTCCCTTCATCCTAGCAAGTTTTGCAAAAGTCGCTGCAGCATCGCGGTCAGATGCATACTGCGTCTTCAGGAGTTGATATCTCTACGATTTTGAAGGCACGCCACCAAAAGGGCATGTAGTGCCGCGAGCTATGCGGTTCCACATCGCAGTGTGTTCATGCCTGCTTGAAATATACATGAACCTCACATGGTTGAAGCGGTCCACGAGCTTACATCGCTCACTTTCTAAGTCGGCTCACGCCTGTCACTCGTTAAGATTGATGAAACCTCCCTTCATCCTAGTTTTGCAAGAGTCGCTGCAGCATCGCGCTCTGATGCACGCTGCGTCTTCAGGAGAAGTTGTCTCCACGATCTCGAAGGGCTGCCACCGACAAAGCTTACTGAGCTGAGCCCCACGCAGAAGTGTTTTTAAGAGGGGGGACTCTCCAAGCTTCCGATCCCACCTGCAATGATATACAGTGATATGCAGAACCCTGGCCTGGCACCCGTGGTTTTGGCCGGCCCGGCCGCGCAAGCGTTTCCAATTCCACTCCGCATCCATGATTTCCCATGTTTGGGGGGGGATTTCACCTGATTTCACCTCCTTAGCCATAGCAGCGAACGCTTCTTCCAAAACACCAAAACATTATGAATTATGGGCCAGTCTGCGTTGCCTTGTAGATTCAACCAATTGGATGGGCTTGGGGTGGGTGCCTTGTTTGCCCCCCTCTCCGCCCCACGCTTTGCTTATTTACATGTTGTGGTGTTTGGGGGGGGGCTGTCTTTTCTCCGCGTCTTGGGCTCGTGCCCACTGGAGAGTCAAGATTGCTGGGGCCAACTGCTGATTTCTCGCAGCAAGCCCTTCAGCTGATGCCTTGCCTGTGTGTCCAGGTCACTGGAAAGACAAGTGGTGCTGCATGGCTCCCACAGGGCTCCTGTCTGCGCAGCTCCTTGAAAATCAATGCCGTTGTGTTGCATGGTCTGGCAGATGCGCGCATGCCGCAAGAGCGCACGCGCGCGTTCCCGTTCGCCTCCCCACGGGCGCGAATGGCAGCAGGCCGGTATCTGCGTCACTGCCGTCGCTGCCTTTCTCGTCCAGGCGCCCAGACGCTACAGAGACTGAGCCAGCCTGTTGGGGCGTTTTTTGCTTAAAGAGAGCCGAGCTGAGACTCTGAAAGAGTTGAGCACAAAGAGCCGACCTTGAGAGTCTGATTGCAGCCGGCTTCGAGTCCGTGACACGTGGAGCAGGGCCCCTTAGCAGGCAGACCAAGAGAGTGCACTTGCCAGCCACACTTCCTCGCTTCGTCGCACCGGGCTTCTGTGCCTTCAAGGACCTTCCTCCCTTACTCACAATTGCACTTAGACTGCGCCCTCCTCCCCAAGTCCCTCAATTCCCCTGAGTCCTAAGGTCCTAGGCCACTAGAACTGGGCCAAGAAGGGGCCTTAATGCTGGTGCTGCGGGCCGGAGTGGAGTTGGCGGCGCTATGGGTGGCGACCCCACAGTCCCACGCGCCCCTGAGAAAGGCCCATCGGCATCTCGAGGCTTGGCACTGCGTCAAGTTGCGAAAGACGGGCTTTCAGCTCGGCACACGGGGACTGGGGAGCCTGGGGAGCACGCGATGGCGGTGTCTGAAGCACTGGGTGCTACAGCGCTTGTGATGCACTGGTCAGCGCTGACTCGGAGGACCTAGGGCCTTAGGGGCGCCTCAACATGTGGATTTGGCGTGGATTCTTCGGAGCCCGTCGGTTTCGGTGTAAACTCGAGAAGCTGAGACGCCTATTGAAAGCGCAGCACCTCCACCGCAAGGGACGGCTTATGCTGAAGTGGATGCACTCTGGCGTAGCAGTGATCTTGTTCAAGAGGCCGCGCTGCCCTTTGCTGCGACTGCTCTCTGACGAACATGCCGACAACGTCGCAGACTCTTTGGATGGCTGCCTGGCGCGAAGTGTGCGAAGTCTGCGAAGTGTGCCAGGTGTGCCAAATTTGCGAAGTACGCGAATCCGCCGCTCTGATGTTCTCAACTCGAGATGCGGGCCTTGGGATTGAGAGCGACGGGAGTCATGAAGTCTCAAGTTTTGTCAGTTTTGTCTGCGTGGCCTAAGACAACTTAAGGGAGGACAATCCACTTCGACGCACGGAGGCTTGAACCTCTGAAGCCTTCTGAAGTCAGAAGACCAGGAGGCACTGCTCAGGAAGCCTTAGCCTTGGCACACGGGGGCTAAAGTCTTATGGCAACTCTGGAGCTTCGTTGGGCAGTTGCCCTTTCGCGGGCGCGCCTTTCCATTCGGCCCGCTGCGCTTCTGCGGGAAGCAAAGCCTGCAGGGGGACTCCCCACAGCTCTAAAAAGTCGAACTGTCTGGAGGCGTGCTCCAGCTCCAGCAGGCAGGGCCTGGAATTTGCAGGTTTTCAAGATTTCAACGCTCCACCGAATCGACCTGTAGAAATAGTCAAGCCGCTTCTCTTCGTCCCGTCAGCTTGGAGAGGAAGCAAGGGTGGTAAACTAAAATCCGAGAAGCACGTGTGCTTCTGCAATGTTGTATGACTCCAGGGGCCTTGATCGGCACTTGTCCCTTCAAGCAAAACGAGCAAACGTGCGCGAACACGGTGCCTGCGATCGTAAGACGCGCCTCTGAATTACAGTGCACGATTCAATATATGAGAGGCGCACGGCCTCGCCACTGGTAAATTTCCCGTAAAGGGTTGAGTTGAGGTCGCTTTCACGACGAAAGGTTGGCGCGGTGCGCGATTTCCTGGAAGAGAAGTTCTTACAACACCAGCATTTCATCTTTTCACTTTGTTGGAGAAAGAATTCACCGCAACAGCCTGCGACTCGACGCGGCGCAAGGTCTGGGCATGGGACTGGTCGAGCTTAAAAACCTTACGCACATGATGGCTGCCGTTTTTCTTGTTGGCTACCCAAAGCCTCGGAAAGTTGGCGACCTCGGGTCCCTCTTTTCACGAAGCGCCGACTGCACCTTAAAGGATGTTGTGTTAAAACTGTTGTTTTCAAACAGCTTCTCCTGAAAACGGCGTGGCGAGGCATGCCGGGGAGAGGCAAGGGGCTGTGCACCTGGCAATGAAGCGACACCGCGCCTCTGTGCGGGCGCACGTCGCACGCCGCGCCCGGTCGGAGTCCTCCTCCTAGAGGCGAAGAGACTGAGCGACTTTGTGTCCGCAATGCCGAATGCCCGTGTTGGTGATGACCGCGCTGCGCAGCTGACGAGACGGTTCCAAGCCGGACAAGCCTCATGAGCCCTCGCTGACCTTCAAGCCATCGACGCGAGTCAGGCCACACTTCTTAGTGAACTTCTCATAACTTGTGCTGTTGTCAGAGCCCGCGCGCCTGAGGCTTAGCTGAAGAGCAGGTTGTCTGATCTCAGCACGGAGTCTTGTCCGATAGTCAGAATGCCCAGGATGTGACAACGACGTTGCCGGCTCTTGCAGAACTGCGAGGCCCAACATGTCACACATTTTTTCGACTAGTGCGTAAGCTGCCTCTTCCGTCAGAGACTCCCATCGGAATTCCACACGCAAACGCCCAGGACATTTCCGGACACCTGCATCATGCATCTGCTCGATGGCATTGGCCTTGCAAATGAAGCGAGGCCTGTGCAGCCGTAGGGGCCACAGGGGGTTCTCTCACTACACGAAGCCGTTGAGCTCGTGCTCCGCGCTTGGTACATAGCCCGCAGCAGGCAAAGACCACTCCAGCTTACAGTACCAGTCGTGGGCAGCAGGCATTCGAAGTTACAATCAACGAGGCTGCTTGCCACAGACGAGTCGCAGCGCTGGGCCTTCTCCGCGGCATCAAGAGATGCAACAGACCAGGACCTTCGAAGCTCACCAACTCGAAGCATCCTCGCATGACTGCACCTCAAACGAACTAAGACTAACTGTTGTGCACTCTTGAGGTTTTGATCTCTGCTCAATGCAATGCACACGGCCATAGTCCCATAGTGGTCAATCTCGGCCCTGGCTGCGGAAAGGAGCACGGGCTCTTCGCGCCGCCCTGCTGGCAGCGACTAAAACAGAGCGCAAACGAGACTGGTTCTGATGCTTTGCTGCAGGATCTCCCCAACCTCCCGGGTTGCGGCTCCTATCCTATCCCTGGGGTCCTCTGCCTCGCCCAAGTTCGAAGGCAACACACCCAACCGCCAGCTGAGGCAGGCAAGCTGTAGGCAAGCTGCAGGCAAGTTGCGCAGGTCCCCACGGGCGAGTTTGCGAGGCATTGCGAGGGTCCGAAGACCGTGCTGGTCTGCGTGCGACGCCAGTGCTGCACCAAAAGGACTAACTAGCCACGACGTGAGCTGCGTTCGCAGACACCATCAAATCGTCCCCAGCCTGAAGGAGGCTTTGTAGCCGCAACTCGAAGTCACGGAGAGTGCAACGACGCTGCAACGAGAGAAAGGCAACTCGCACAGGAGAGAAACCGAGCAGAGCGTCAGCCTGGGCTGCGCCAGCGTACATCTCATCACCTGCACGTCTTAAGTATAAGCTGAGAAGATAGATCCTGGACAGAGCCAGCGGCACACAAGCGCGACTTCGACAGCAGGTGCCAGCAGCTACACCTTGTAGGCCCCTAAGCGTCTGCAGGGCCTGCAGGGCCTGCAAGAGGTCAGCTCCACTGTGACCAATGCCAGGTGCAGGCAAGCTGCTGGCAAGCTGCAGGGCCTTACGGAAGTGCGAGGGTCCGAAGAGTAAGAACTATAGGAACCAGCACACAACATGCTCTCGCGACGTAGGGGTTATTTGCTGTGCCGGTCTGCAGGCGTGATGGCATGCGCACTGTCGCGCGGCACGACGGAGGCAGACTCTCCCGTCCCCGCTGGACCTGCTGCTGTTGGACGGGAATCGCACGCTCCACCTCTTCCTCGGCACGGCGACCCCCATCACGGATGCTGGGGATTTCCTGCGCTGGTTCAGAGGGAATCTACGGTACTGAGGTCAAAAGCCCTTTTAAGACCCAGGAGAATGGCTGCTTTGGGCAGCTTCCATCACGACAGTGGCCTGGCTCGCGGTCCGTCTCTTGCATCTCAGTGAGTCAGTGAGGTTCAAGAACACGTTGTTCTGAGAGGATTTAGCCTCACCTTCGGGCATGCGTGTGCTTTCCACGCGTGCGATATGCGCAGCTTCTGAGTCCTATAAGCACGATGCCGATGCTTCGACGATGCCCGTGTCGAAGCGCAGCGAGATGCAGCGATGGTCGGGCGCCGGCCCCACTCCGGCCTGCCGAGTCGGAGACGGGCCCAGAGCTTAAAGAAAAGGCTGGTGGTCCACGCATGGCTACTGCGTTGCCCGTTGCGCAATCTGCACAGCAGCGTGGCTTGCGTTGCATTGAGACCTGCGCTTATATGCACTTGTGGACTTACTTATGTTGACTTCATCTCGCATGCGGTAGTTGCCTCCGCTTCAGTGTCAAATTCTAACATGCGAAGGGAGCCTCAAACCTCTGGTGACTCGGTCGTGCTGTGGGAGTTCAGGTGGTTTGGTGATCGTGAACCCTCTCGACGCATCGGGACGCAGCTGAGCAGCCCCATGTCCTGCATGAAGCTGACGATCTCATCCCTCACCAAGAAACATCCAGGTGCAGAGGGCAACCTGCACGAACATGTGCCGGAGGAGCCTGGCAGCACGTGGCCGAGCCCTAAAGGAGCCGCTGTAGGCGCTGTAGCGACCCCGGTCGACATGGTCCCCTCCAGGCCCCAAGAAAAGGGTGCTGCAACTTACTTCGCTTCCAGGAACGAAAGTGCCACAGCGCAAGAATTCGCCAAGAGTACCAACCAGCCTCACCCGGTGCAGGCCACACTTGGTTGCAAGACGTCGCAAGCGCCGTGTCGCGTGTGCAGCACCGGGCCCCCACGCGTGAGATCACCACTTCTGCCGGCATTGCCGACGTTGGACTACACAGCGAAGTGCTCCACACTGGAGCCGCTGCTGCCGAGAAAACACCCCTGAATTGTTAAGGCCGCGCCAGCTGCAACTTCTGTTGAAAGAGGTGCAGCACAAACGGCATCAACTTAGGCAGGAGCTGCGCGTGTGTGGTTCTGGTCGCAACTTGCAGACGCGGAGACCGTTAGCGCGGAAGGCTTGCGATCAGGAGCTGAGCGGAGACTTCACGCAAGACTCTTCAGTCCGACGTCAGATCGTCAGTGTGAAGGTGAGCGCGCAGTAAAACCCAGAGGCCCCGACTGAGACATTTCATTGAGGTTCTCGGTTTTGGGGCTAGGTATCGCTTTCTCGAGCAAAACGATGACATCCGGGGGTATCGCTTTTGGGGTTAGGTCTCTCTTCCGCAGCACTATGTCTCGCCCGAAGCTACCTAGAGAGGCATGGGATTTAGCCAGTCGCTCATGTGGCCTGCAGATAGTCCAACCTCAGGGGCACTCGGACCCACACGAAATACTCCGGCGGACCCCACATGTCTGCGGCGCTTGCTTTTCAAGACCAGTCTGCAACCAAAGAAGGGAAGACGCCACCGGTGTCTGCCAAGGCCGGTACTCGCAGTCGCGGATCAGGCAGAGCACGCAGAGCACTGAAGATCCCAGTTGCTAGCTGGTGCGCCCGCAACGCTGAAACAGGCCTTCTGGAACAAAGCCAAGAGCGTGGACCCTCTGAGGCGACAGCTTGCAAGGCCACCAGAGCTCGCAAAGCCCGGCGCAAGGTGCAGGAAATGCAAGAAATGCAGGACATGCAGGAGATGCGGGAACGCCGACGAGTGTTTGGTGGGGCTAAGCTCGACTCTTACGAGGCCAAACATGTTGGCTGGGCGCATGCGGCGAGAAAGCAGCATGCTTGGAGTTGACGGTTGATGGTCAGATGACAGGCGCGAGTGAGGAGCCATGGCGGAAAGTCATCGATGCCTGGAAGGCACCGTGCGCGCGGCAGCAGGAAGAGCTGCTGATCAAGACCACCTGCATCGGCGTTCACAGACAGAGGCGCTTGGATGTTGCCGACCCACAAGCTCACCTCGAGTTTATGCCTCGGGCTCAGCTCTACATCGAGGGCTTTTAGTGACCACGCTTGAGGACGCTAAGGGGCTGAAAATTCGGAACTTCAACGGCCAGCCTTTTGCAGAGCAAAGGGCACTCACGGGCGCGTCCTGCGCTCCTGCCCCAGCAGCTGGCCAAAGCTGGGCAGCCCAGTGACCGGAGGCAGCAACACACCGAGGCGCCGTGAGCATTCCTAGCTTGATGCACGGAGGCTCCCCGAAGCATTCCCCGAAGCATTCCCCACACCCCATACTACGAACCGCAGAAGCATGAGCCATCAACTGGGGAAGACATCTGCAGTAGCTTTCAAGTAGCTTTCTGCACACACCTACACATCTGGGACGGTCAGAGCTGACGGAGCCTACAAGGTCTTTAGGAGCCATGTAAAAGGGCTCCAGTGGGGTGCTTGTGCACGGTTCATGGAACGCTCCGACAACCATGCTTTACCATTCTCCGGCAATGATGTGAGATTGAGAGGTGTGGGCGAGGCAGATGAGGCAGACGAGGCAGATAAGGCATGCGGCACATGCGCGATGAGCCTCCATAGCACATCCCGGCGTCGGACAGAAGCCCGCGACATGCAGCGCAGCTGTCGCTCTACAGGTCGGGGCGTAGCCGAATTCGAGAACCCTGAGCATACATCACCAAGTTCAAGCCTAAGCACGGACAGCTCTGACTCCTTCCTGAACTCTTCTCGAAAGGCCTGCTGGCAGAATGGCGACTAATTCTGTGCACCACTGCAGCACCTGGCACCCGCAGCTCGCACTCTAGCTCTCACATCACAGGCCCATAACGCTGAGACAAAGACTCCAGCGCACAGCGACGGAAGCTTAAAGTACTGGTGATCAAGACACATCCAAAGCCGTACTTATGGAAAAAATCATTCTCACTCTCCAGTCCACGCTTCTTTGCCGCCGTACACGCTTCTCTCTCATGTTCAGATTCATCTCTTCAAAGCCGGCACAATGCAGACCTGCTGCCAGTGGTCTACTTGTGTGCGAGTGTCGGAGTGAGAGAGGCGGGCGGGCGGGCGAGCGAGTGCGCGCGTGCGTCTGTCCGTGTGTCGGCGTCCGCGTTGTCATAAAGGTGGTTGGACCAGCATGAAGCTTGGACTAAATCGGAGTGCGTCTGAAGGCAACAGCTTGAGATGCCTTAGGCTGAAGCCAGTCTCAGTCGCTCCGTACGACTCAGTTGTGTTTTGTTTTTTTTTTTCTCTCTCTCTCTCTCTCTCTCTCTGAAGCACGCTCGTAGGCCTAGGCCTAGACCTGCCAGGCCAAGTGCGCCGCAGCAAGGCAACAACTAGGAGATTCGAGAGGCATTCGGCTCCAGCCAGCACAGCCCGGTCTCAGCATACGGTGTTCGACAAGGCGAAGCTTTGCAAAGCCTTGCTGAGCTGTGCCTGGACGAATTCAGGGACGCGGCTCTACGCAGCTTGCAGAGTGGGCTATGCCCCATTATGCCCCATTATGCCCCATTATGCCCCATTATGCCCCACTATGCCCCATTATGCCCACCCTATCCCACCCTTCTGCCCCTCTGCCCGAGCCCTCTGCCCGAGCTGCGTCTCCCATATGGAAGATCCCTTCGGGTCCAGCAAAGGGCATCGACGATGGCTTCAATCAAAGTCTCAACTTTTTTTTGGGGGAGCCGCGAATCTCAAAGAGGACTGGGAGCCCAACTTCAGACCTCATGCTCGCATCCCAGGAATCCCACGGCCCATCACACCAGAAGACACTGCTGGGAGGAAATGATGCAGCTTTCGCGCGCCCATTGCACGATGAAGTCCTTCCCCTATATTCATCTGAACACACAGAGACGCGCGCATGCCGTCACGCTGCTTAAAAACACGTGGGGCAGAGTGGGGACTGCCGGCAGCGCGAAGAGACAGAACGTGTTGAGATGCTCGGCGACGAAAGCGAACGAGGGGGAAGAAATCCGAATCCAAAACAGCGTAAGAGGTGAAGACGCTTTCGCGGCAAGCCTCCAGGATCACGTTGGAAAAAGCCCTCGGCCGAGCTAGTCTCGAGCTGTCCGAGAACCAGAGCAAGGTGAGCAAGGCGAGCAAGGCGAGGCAGCGGCTACTAGTGATGGAATCTGCTGACATGACCGTGAGTGGCTGAAGGCTCGAGCTCACTTACGGAATTGCGACGGCACGTGCTGAAGCCTTGGCGCCCAGCAAGCCTCGCGCTTCGCATAGTCAAGGTGCCAAAGGAGTCAAAGGAGTCAAAGACCCTTTGCACGGACTTGCCAGGCTCTACGGGCTGGTGCCTCGCGCCGTGAAGCAAAACGGGAGCGACCCGGGGAGATACTTTTCCCGTCTCTGTCGGGGTTTCAACAGGAGAGTCAAGAGAGAGCGGCCGCCGAGGCCCAGGAGAGGCCGAGTCTTCCGGTCACAGCGGAGACCTGGTGACCTTCGTCTTGACACAGCGTGCGTCTTTTCTCACCTTACCATTCTTCTCCTGCGCCTCCCCATTCCCGGAGAAGAGCTAAACTGGCAAATGAACTCCTGCACTCAGTGCATACAAGAATCCCTTCACCATGTGAAGTCGACCACTTCGACAGGCGATGGACATAGTGCACTCGTCATCAAGCTTAGGACCCAGCAGCAAGCCCTGACCATTTAAGTGCCCCTTCCAATAGAGGCCTCTTCCGCCTCTCCCCGGAGTTCTGGTCCTTGTGGCATGCAGCCTTGTGAAATATCTGCAGCGATCCGTCCCGGGAGGCCAACGAAGGGCGACTGCGGCGAACAGAGATGGCCGGGCAACCGCCGTAAGCAGAGAGGCCGAACGCCGGTGCCGCATGTGCAACAAGTGCAGCAACAGGCATCTACGCAGAGACCCGCACCGCCACTGCTGGGACTCCGCCGAAAGGCTGTGGCAGCCGTGGCTCTGCAGGTGCACCTCGCAGCGTAGTTGACGCGAGGACCCCGAGTGCAACCTCGCGTTCCGAGCGAGCGGAGCCCGCGCAGCCTCAGGCAACAGCTAGACGCTGCCAATCAGAGCGCCCGGTGCCAGGGCCAGCGGCGCCTTGGCCATCAACAGGGCCTGCTCTGAATCCTCAACAAACTCCCGACATGCGCTTTCTGAGGTATGTTGTTTACGAAGGGGGGAAGGGGGTGATTGAAGAGATCTCAGTCCTGCCTCTGAGGATCTCATAGAGGCCCGGAACCGCGCCTACTTCTGAGGGTGGCGCGGCAAGAATCGTAGCTCTTTTGGCCTGCAAGAAAGTCACGATGGGAAGGCTCTCTAAGCCCTGAGGCTGTGGTCCGGACGGAAATTGCCGGGCTGTGTTGCACAAGCCATGGCAGCTCTGGGCCCCCCTGACCGTGCTTGACTTCCATCTGGGCATGAGCTTCCGGCAGAAGCTACTTGCACCGAAGCTTCAAGGGTGTGGCGACCCAAGCGGTGGCTCCCCAAAATGGGGCACACGCTCCCAGAGAAGAAGAATGAACAGCAAAGAGCCGCAAAGAGCTCAAGAGCTCAGGCACCCAGTGATAGTGATAGTGAGGTATTGAGATCAATTAGAGGTCAGTAGGGTGCCAGCTCGGGTCGCCCATGTCGACACCTGACATTCAGATGTGTTGTTTCTACGGCACAGGCAGCTGGCACCAGGATTGCCACATGCAGCAACATGGCAGGCACGAGCTGCCTCAACCGCCCGTCCACTCGAACACAGCTTGGAGGGTCGTAACACCAAGTGGGGGCATGTGACCGTTGTTTGAGCTTGACACTTCATGAAGCGCAAGGATCTGCAAACCATCTCGAAGATTTGGCTGTGCTCGTTGCGCTCGTTGGGAGCATCCTGTTGGATCGTCGGAAGTGGCGGAAAGGGGAGGTGAAGAAAGAACACAGCGACGAAGGTAGGGTCGCGTGGCCGCTCTTGGACCCTTCCGGGACTCTGACAGGCACGGCAAACCAGTCTCAGCTCAGGCAACCTGCTCACGAACTCTGAAAGCTCTGAGGCTTCCTGCCACAGATCGGAAGGTCTCACTACAGTCTTATATTGCTTGCGACGCACACGTCTGCAGATTCAGCACCGCAGACTTGTCCCGAGACAAACATGATGGACTTCGGCTTTAAATGGGGCGAGCTTTGAAAACTTTAAGCCATAGACAAATGAAGCTTTAATTTAGGCCGGGCGTGTTTTTGTGTGGCCCTCAGAATCTGCAGCTTGGTGCGCCAGTCAATTCGAAGGCTTCAGCATCGGCAGCATCCTATCAGTCGCCAGAACGTGACGTTGCAGACATTTGCAGATGCTTCCTGCAGAAGTGCTCCGTGAACCCCGATTGAACACAACGCTGGCGTGAACTCGAGGATCATGCCTCGAAGGTCCCATGGCAATCCGATGACTCGAGCGGCTCTCGCTGAGGCGAGGCTAAAAAAACAAAGACGCCGCAATGCCCGGAGAACTTTGCTGCTAGGAGCTGGCACCAAAACAAAGTGTTAGGCCGGAAGCGATCCTTCATGCAGCAGTGGGAAGTACGATGGTCAGGCTGCTAGGATTGCAGCCCTCACCTTGAGTAGAGGAAAGGCGAGTCTTGGATTTCAATGGACGATCAGTGCTCAAAAGAGAATCTTCACAAGGATGGCGTACATCGCCTCGTCCACAGGCAAGTTTCCGATTGTCGAGGGGATCTGCTTGGGCTCTCTAAATTAGAACCCCCTTCCGGAGTCCCTGCGCAAGCTTCCAACCATGACATGGACCCACCTCCGTTGGATCAAGGGTAAGGGGGTTGGAAAGTGCCGAAGGCACTTCTCGACCCACAGTCCAGGAAACTGCCCAGATGCCTCGAGCTTGCAGCATGCCCCTCCTCCTATTTCGATGCAAGGACCCATCCTTCTTTCACGACAGGGAGAAGGCGTCTGCGCACGTGCATCCGAAGCCGTCCGTCTAAAGCAGATGCCAACTACGTGGCAGCACGCTCAACAACGCGCAAATCAAGGTAACTCCACAGCCTGTGAGCTACAGGTCCTTCAGCTTGCACAAAGATGCCTCACCACATGCAGTGCTTTCTGCTCCTCTTTCCTCTCACTTCTACCAAGACAAGCCCCGCAGCATGCCATGAATTTGGATCTTTTGATGGCACTGCCACGCTGCGCTGCAGCGACAAAGCCTTCTTACCGGGCTGCTAGAGAGCCTCCCACACGCGATTGGAAGCCTGCAGTGTGCAACTTGCCTTTGGGCCCGCGTGCCGCACAGTGTGCACTGAAGGCGCTGAATGCGCCGGATGCAAGTCAACAGCTGAGACTTTACAGGGTTTCAGGGAAAAACCACGTTTGGGAGAAACAGGGAACAGTGCGACTCGATGCGTTGATTGAGGAACGAAACAGCTACTGGTCCGCGGTTGCTTAGGAACCCCAGCCATGGGAAGAGACAAGAGATCGGCAGTGGCCAAAGGCCCTACTCGCGTGGAGCTTAGGGAGCCGGCATGGGGCTCTGGGTAGCGGGACATGAAAATTGCGGCGCTTGACTTACCCGGAGGCAGCAGCGGACATTGCGAGGGCAGGCAAAGTGAGCCCCAAAGGAAGGGGGGGTGGGGGAGTGGGGGAGTGGGGGGAGTGGGGGGACTTGTGGAGATGAGGTTCCGGCAGTGCCGTAGGGCGCTGGATGCGCGGCAGGGGCAGTGTCAATGGCAGGCACGCGTCGCAACACCGCGCCTACAACAGCGGAAAGGCTCAACGGTTGCTGAACGGCTCAACGGTTGCTCGCAGGGGACAATGCTCTG